AGGTTTCTTCTCTGCTCTGGTCTAGTACTCAAACTTTCTCCTTCAGTTATATTCGATTGGCAACTCGGTAAGATGTCAGACAACATCCATTGCCTACCATTAGGCGCCTTGAACAAAACAGAAGACAGCAAACAGCTGATTTTATTTGTCAACATCGGTGTCAACGCGGGTTCATTTTAAATTTTAACTTTAATTTATAAATAAAAGTTTTGTGGGACCTACATTTGTCAACAACAATGAATCGGCGAATTGCACGTGCTCCGGGAAACTTCGTCCGAGGCCGGGCACATGGAGGAGGCGCTTATCGTCCGTACTTTTATTTTCGTCGCAACGGTCGGACAATACCAGCTGGTGGCCGGGGAGATTGTCAGGCAGCAGGAAGCGCACCGAGAGGTGGCGGTTGGCGTGGACGTCGTCGTGGGTCACAGCGTAACGATAATTCCTTGACACATCCACCAGACATCCGCTTAGATTCGTCGTTCCTGCGACCTGAATGTTATGCAGCGCCGGAAGATGCCCTACATATGGCACAAAGCATTGCAGTTGATATGCCCCTACAATGTCCCGGTTGGCATATGTACTTTCAACAAGAGCCGTACAAGGAGGCATCGGAAGTAGCCGTACGAATTAAGTCAGTGGAAGATTACTATAATCGACAAGAAGCGCTTTATGATTTGAAGCAAATACAATTTGCAAAGTGCTTTAAGTTGGAGGAGAATAAAGTTACTGCGGATGAATTACTTATGAAAGCGTGGCCACATTTGAAACAAGATATGTTGGCGCATACGCACCGCACATTGGCAACATTCGGCGTCGCTATGCACAAAGTGGTGACAATGGCAACGGTGGATCATTTGTCGAGTCAACGAGCGTGTAGCAAAGATGTCTACGTGCCGCGCTGCACTCTACCACGAAAGATATACGTGAGACCAGCGGGTTTTCAAGAACTTAGTTTAATATCTGATGTGGATACTTCGGTTGTGGATAGTATGTGCAGAGTACGCGGCGTAGTGTCTGCTATAGGGCCAGTAGAAGCGAGCGCCTCTTGGATAGCTTTCAAATGTTCGCGATGCGGGCAGGAGCAAACGCTAAAGCAAAGTGGTAAGAATCACACTTATCTGAAAAGTTAAGTATTTACGACAAATTAATGTAAATTTTATTAACATTTCTGTTTAAGGATTCTATACTTCGCGCCCATATTACTGCAAGCGCGAAGGATGCATAGCAAAGAAGAATTTTATAGAGCAACGATCATCTCCTTTTACTCGCATCACTCCTTTGCAAATAATACAACTTCAAGAGAACAATTTACAGTCGCCTGGCGACTCTGAAATGGGAAATCAAAAAACCTTAGATAT